CATTTCAGTGATATTTTTGACATTTTTTTTTAAAGATGGGTCACCAAACCTGTTTTTTACAATGTCTGGTTTTCTGGTGGATGGTAAAGTTACAACAGCAGCTTTCTTTTAAAATCGCTTACTTCATTCTAGAAGCATTAATTTAATGAGGCTTTATGACATTCCTGTGAGGCTTCACAGACAGAAAAACGAAGCATAAATCACTACTATGACTTGTGCAAGATCATTCAGCCTTTTTTGGCAAAAATGGGAAGGGGAACTAGAAATACTTACTGCTATTTTCCATCTCTAATTCACACTGTATTAGGGTGGGGAGAGATGCCTGGAGGAAAGAACAGAATTCCCAGCTCTCTAAAAAGTCAAATGGCTTAAAATAAAAGATGAGACACAAGATAGTAATTGTGAGTGGGAAGTATAACTTGACACGACACCGATTTCCTCTGTGTTCCTTGTAAGGCCAAGTTTTGCAGATTCTTTATTTCTGAAAAGATAACAACTTACCTAATCAGCACTGGAAAAGGTTGTTTTTTGTGATTAAGGCATACAACTGAGATTTAGGGGATGTGGGCTCAGTTCCAAGCTCTGTCAGCTTTTCAGCACAACTTTTAGAAAGTCATTGAGGTTGGGATTTTAAAAGGCCCTCACCAGCTCCTTGGAAATGTTTAAATTTAAGCTTCCTGGGCCTAGGTTCTCATGTATAAAGATGTGACTATATTTTTATCCAGCCTTTATCATCTTGTCCATTTTTATACTGCAAACTCTTAAGGGCAGGAACTGGCTAACCATGTTTGTGTAATGCATGATGGGACACGAAAAAAAGAAACAATTACAAATCACGTTCAGCCTTAGGAAAGAAAAGACATTTTTTTCTAAGCATGTAACTGAAAATGGTTGGGTGCGACAAAGTAAACTGAGGAGGCCGCATCCTAGAAACGTGGCTTTCAACATTTGTTATGGCCATGTACTATACCCCTTTACTTGCAAAATAGTTCTGTGCATACCCCCTGCACCTGACATGTCTCTGCATGGTCATTCCTTAGGAAGAGTGTTGACACCGAGATCAACGTGTGGCAAAGCCTCACTACTCAAGTGTATTAACCAGTCAGAGGCTCTGTCACAATTATAAAAATGTAGGCACATACTCCCTGGCAAAGCACCACGTATCCCACTTTAAAAAGTAGAATAAACTTTTGGGGGTTTTTTGGCTTTAACAGAAGTAGGTTCTCGCAGTACTGGCAACGCCTAACAAGCACCAACTCCCTTTTTCATTAACTGTAGTCTTAGAGCAAGTAGTCAATGTGTACAGGCAAAGCCAGCACCTATGGTGGCAGCCCCTGCAACCCCCCCTCCCCAGCCTCCAGGTGTTAACATTTTGCCTCAGCCACCATAAAGATATATTTACTCAGTTTATCCTGGCAGAAAAGGGTCTCCATCAGATTGGCCCTGCAGGCAATCGAATACTCAAGAGCAAGACCTGTGTCCAGCTTGTGACCAAGACTAGTTTTTGCTTTTCCAATGCAAGTACCTTTTGTCCTGTGTTTTCTCCTGCCAGAGGCTAAAGGAAGCTCCAATGGCTCCCTGGTGGACTACATGGGAAGCGGGATCTCGGCACAATGTCCTTGTAAGACTTCTTTGATTCATTCCTATCACTCTGAAGCCAGGCAGTGAGCATATACAAAAGGTCATTGAAAGGATGCTCTAAAGTGGGACTTACTGTTAAACAATGCAGTTGCGTGAAAGCTTAAGTGATGGGTCAAGTTCTGTGAAAGGTTCCACTACAATCTTTAATTCACCCAAATATCAGCTTGGCTCTCAGATCCAGTGCATCCAGAGATGTTCAGCCAGGTTCACAGCCTTCACGGACCAAGAATGAAAGCATAGCTCAGGCTTCGCATTTCCCTTTTCGTATGCACAACCCTCCCCTCCCCTTTACTCTTTCTGTTGGCTTGCCAGTGGACTGGGCCCCTCCAGAGCAAACGTGTTGAGTGTGGAGATACTTCTGAAAGAGCCCTTCATGCCCCGATACCAGGCTCCACCCAAACATGCTGAGTTTAACTAAGCTGAGGTTCTTTCAAGTGCAGAAAGCTCTCTCTCTCAGGTGCCAAACATTCCTGCAGACACAGTTCTTTGGGTAAATGTGGTAGCTTTTATTAGACCACCCCAAAAATATTCCTGCAGGGCTTTCATTTCAATCAGATTTTCCTCTGCACTGCTGCACTCCCAGTGACTTGAAATTTGCCTGCCTTACTTACCCCCTGGTTTTTTTTCTGGAAGCATCTACTTTTACTCCAATCTGTGGAGCTGCAAGAACAATCAGAGCCAGGGGTTTGGAAGGGCCCTTGAGGGTTATCTAATCAAACACCCTGCACAGATATGGGACTCACTGTTCCTAGGCCATCCTAAATAGATATCTATCCAGTCACTTCCCAAAAACCTCCAGTGAAGACAAGCCAACAATTTCCCTGGGCAGTTTGGTCCATTGTCCTCCTCTTGTTCCTAGAGTTAGGAAGATTTTCCCACCACTCTCAGGATTGAGCTGGCATACAGCAGGTGGGCCAGTGCATAGCTACCTGTGGCACAAGGTCCCAAGGGACATGGGAGTAAAATGAAGAGAAACTAGTCAAAGTCAAAGCTTTCATCATTGCAGTGGTTGTGGGTTCAGTAGAAGAGCCACAGCCAGCTTTCAGGAGCAGGTTAACTTTATTAAGTTAAACCAAACTGAGTGCCAATTTGAACATACCAGTGCCTGAAACCCCTGCTCCCGACCAGCTGCCCACAACCATTTCTTTCCAACCAACATGGTTACTTTCAGTAATGATTACCCTCAAAGGGCCAGTATACTTTCAGCCATGACCCAGCCTTTGGGCCTGGATGAAGTGTACAGAAGTTACCCTCCTCACCCCCTGCTGTCCCTTAGCAAAGAGAAGCCTGCTAAGTATTAAATGTCCTGTATGCCTTATTCTGCTTTCTCTGCTATCAGATATGGACTTCTGCCCACAGGCGGCCAAGTGCTGCCAGCTTGGGGTAGACGAGTACGGCTGGATTGCAGCAGCTGTTGGCTGGAGTCTCTGGTTTCTGACTCTCATCTTGCTCTGCGTGGATAAGCTCATGAAACTCAGGCCTGATGAACCCAAGTATCTACAAGCATGAGCCCCAGCAAGCTAGCTGATCTCCTTGCCCAGCAGTGTCAGACTGGGAGGAGCAGACCAACTGTGAATCTAAGCAATTGTTGAAGGAGGAAAAGGGTGGCCAGGTACCTTATGCTTAATATGAGCTAGCTCCAAGAGGCTTGGCAGCATCTTCCCCAGCAGGTTTTTATAAGCAGATCTTCTTGAAGCAACCAAATACTGGAGTGGATTTCAGCCCCTTGAAGTGATCTGTAATAAGCCCCAACTTGTAGAATGCCACCTCATCCCTATAGCTCTCCCCTCTGCTGTGAGCTTCCCAGCTGCAGTTATAAACTAAGATACCTGGCACCAGCCCACCTACAGCTGACAGAAGGGAGCTCAGGACATGGCTGCTGCTCTTCATACAGAAAGTAGGCAAGTGAGGCTAATTTATGAAGAATTCACCTTTAGCAGTTCCACAGCTAAGCATGTCATCTGAGCTTCATTATACATAAACCCTAGCTCAGATCCTCAGTTGGTGTTAACTGATGCAATGCCATTGGTTTCCTGGAGTGATTACCCTATGCAATTTGCACTGAGTAAATAAACCTGCATTTGAAAACCTGTTTATTTGTATGTGAAAAATTCTTTTGCAAACCTTCCTAAGGTAAGTTCACATGCCCAAAATATGCTTCTTTAATGTAATTCTGATTTTAAATCGGTGCATGGTTTGGGTATGACACTTCTTACATCAGTTTAAAAGGAGTGATATTGATTTAGCTTGAAGCCATAAATTTACCTATGAAAGCTAAACTACTGTATTACAGACATAAACACGTACCCAATCCACATATAGAACTGCACTGTTGATCAATTAAGTTGATTTTAAGCCACATTGTTAACAACTTAGTACAACTGTGCAAGTGTGGGCTAGCCCTTAAATTAGTTCAATCCTTTTTTATATTTATTTAGCTTATGCAGGCAAGGAATTGATTTAGTAAATTGCTTCAATCCAGAGTTGAAACAGAACAGGGATATATATATATATTCACCCAGAGCTTGTTCCCAGTGCAATGAATTTGTCTACATGGGAAATGCATCAGTTTTGTTGAACCCATTTTTAAAATGCTCTATTTAAACCAGTACAAATGTCATATAGATTCCCCTCAGGTTAAAGATGGTTTATTCAAATTTAGCAGATGTTTGAGATTAAACTTATACTAAATAGAAAAAAGCCACTCTGATCAAGATAAATTTCCATACAGAGGTTTGCATCCATTTTACCCAGTTGAAATTCACAATTTTGGTTATAACTGTGTAACTTTCCCGTGTGGACAAGGCTTATATCAACAGAAAAAACACTCCCTTTGTTAAACCATACATGGCTTCCTTCATAGACAAGGGCTTACAGATGCTGTTCTGCTTCCACTAAAGCTGATGGATAATTTTCCATTGTCAAATGAAACTGGATCAAGCTTTAAATCCTCAGTGGGAGCATCTACATCGCTGTAGCGATGAAACCTCTAAAAATAACCATGCACCACTGGGACTGCATAGTACCAGTGTGTACTGCAGAGTCATTTAGCACTTCAGTACCAAGTACAGTCAGGGACACATGTTGATGTGTCCAGTTACTCTTAACATTAATAGAAAGAAGTAAAGTCAGACACAGAGAAAATACACTCCCATATTATTAACCAAACACAATTTAATATAAAGAGGAATGCTGAGCTGAAATGTTAAGATTAGGAAGTGAACCATTAAAAAAGAAAGACTTTTCTTTTGCGGCTTTTTTATTGCATTTTTTTTTTTTTTTTTACATGCACAGTAATACCAG